GGCTGCTGTGTGATCTCAGGTGACACGGGAGGGGTGGGGGAGGCGCCACCACCGCAGAGAGCGGAGCCAGGGCCTCCAGCACACTTGGAAACCAAGCGCCACTGACTGGGCGTGGCCTCCGGGGCAGCAGGGAAGAGCAAGGAGAGAACACTGCACGGAAAGCGTCCTGGAAGAGGTCGGGGGAAGCTCGAACTGCATCCTCTGCCGAGGTCCCGGAAGTGAAGCAGCAGTGGACAGGAAGTTCCCAGCGCAAAGGCGGACCGTCTCCAAGGACAGAGCAAGACAAGAGCACCATCATCCACGGAACTAAAGACCACGGGGACTGTAATCCCAGCACTCGGGAGGCCAGGGCCAGAGGACTGAGAGTTCAGGCCAGCCCAGGACACACAGCAACCTTCCATAGACTTGCAGATAGACGAGAAGAGGACATCAGGGTGAAGAGAAATTCTTGATGCCCAGGGGAAGGGGCAGGGGAAGTCAGGCAGAGGAGAGGAAACGCTGAAAGCCAGAAAATGGTGATCTGTGCCTTCAGAGGCTGAAGAGAGAATACGAGACCTGTGTTGGCTATTCGGCTGAGCTGGTGAGGCGCTGGCTGAGGCGGGGCAGCATGAAAGCCTGCTGCCCGCGGCCCTAGGAGGGTGGGGAGCCCACGAGGGTGGCAGGGCCTTTCCCGCGTGGGGGACAGCCAGGAGGGAGCAGCCTAACAAGTCCCCAGGCAAACGGCTGCACGGGACACGCCCAGCAGAGCTCCCAACTGCACTAGAACACTGAATGAGCCGTGTGGGACTCACACCTGTGATCCTACATCTCAGGACGCTGAGATCTGGAAGATCACTGTTCGGGGCCAGCCTGTGCAGAAAAGTCCACTAGATTCTGTGTCCAAAATAACCAGCACAAAGCAGGGTTGGAAGCATGGCTCAAGTGGTAGAGCTCCAGCTGAGTGTGCAAGCCAAGGGCCTGAGCTCCAAACCCTGCTATCACTACAAAAACAAAAGAGCCAATTACACCCAACTGAACCTTGACTGTAAGAGACCCAACTAAAGGGTAGAAAAGATAACCACACAATGAAAAGCTGGGAAGGCGTTTTATACTGCAGGGTGAAAAGCATTACCGATGTCTGAATACACACACAATGAGGCTCAACACTTCTTAGAGTAAGGACAGATAGAGAAATGGGTTAATTGGTGACTACAATGTGCTTTACAAAATCCAAGTTAAGCAAACAAAACAGCAATGATAAAATCTGGATAAACTTTAGCACACAGCTACATATTCATTTATAATATTTGCATGTTCTGTATATACACATTTATATTTAAACTTTACACAGCAAATGGAGAACTGTGTGTGTGTGTGTGTGTGTGTGTGTGTGTGTGTGTGTGGATCAACTCTGGGCCCTGGCACACACTAGGCAAATGCTCTACCACCGGGCTACAACACCATTCCTGGAACACTGAAATCCAATAAACATAGGTGATTTACACTTTTTAAGACCTGAAGTGCAGCTGGGTGCTGGTGGCTTACACATATAATCCCAGCTACTTAGAAAGTTGAGTCCTGGAGGATTGTGGTTTGAAGCTAGGCCAGGTGAGATTCCTTTAACCAGCAAACAGCCAACCTGGGGGCGTGGCTCAAGCCTCGAATAAACTAGCTGAACATTCAGGGTAAGCCCTGAGATTAAACATCAGTGGGGGCGGGGGGGGGGGGGGGGAGAGGGGTGGAGGGAAGGGATCTGAAAAGGGGAAAAAAGGGAGAATCAAATAGACAATACAGAGTAAGGTATTTTTAAAGGAGTATTATAAGGAACTTTATACTGATAGCTGACAAGGGAAAAAAACGGATAAATTCTTCCAAAACGCCACAGTTGGTGTAAGCAGAGATGGAGAAAGGGACGGAGCAATAAAGTAAACGCCAAGGCACGCACCCTCCCTCTGCCCAGCCTAGAGACACAGGGTGCAGGCGTGGGCTTTGGGGCCGCCTGACTTCGAGCGTCCGTGAACTTGCCACACTTCATGGGGCCAGTATTTTTTTGTCAGTCGTGGGGCTTGAACTCAGCTTGGGCGCTGTCCCTGTGCTCTTCAGCTCAAGGCAAGCGCTCTACCGCTTGAGCTACAATGCCACTTCTGGTTATCTAGTGATTTATTGGAGATAAGAGTCTCATGGACTTTCCTGCCCAGGCTGGCTTTGAACTGTGATCCTCAGATATCAGCCTCCTGAGTAGCTAGGATGACAGGCGTGAGCCACCGGCACCCAGCTATGGGGCCAGTATTAACTTTGTTCTAAAACCTGGTCTAGGTCAGGCTACGAGAGCTAACTGGAGACATCTCATAAGCATGCAAAAATCCCATACCTCCACCTGAGGCCTTCTGCACCACCCGGTGATGGCCACTAGAGGGCAGTCTCAGCGCCTTCCTTCTTCCAGCGGCAGCATTTGTTCTCAGGGCCTTGCGCCTCTCTGCATGGCGTCCCCCACGGGAGCTCACGGTCCCGCGGCAGAGACTCAGTTCCCAGACTGGACACCCTGGAAGTGGACCTGGGTCGAGATGCCTGCACTGTCCCTCATCTCAGCTCCCCACCCTGGCAGAGCTCCGAGGCCCGGACAAGTCTGCAGTATGAGGCTTACGGACAGGAGGAAGGTCTGCGTGGTTCCAGCAGACACGGATTCAGCGAGGTTGGGAAAGGAATAAAAACACACAAAATCACGTAGAACATACAAAATCTAAAAATGACCACCACCAGCCAAAAGCCAGCGGAAAACAATCTAACCATTCCCGGTGGGAGAAGTGCTGGGAATGCGCCGGGCAGGATTTCCTCTCTTTACGACTGCTTAAAATGGTAAAGACCTAAACAAAAGAAGCCCGAGGAAAACATAAATGGGAGGAGAGAAAGCACCTCCCAGTCCTCACATTTGTCAAGATTCCAGCGTGCCCAATGGAAGGCCAGAGACAGGTGATAGATTAGACTGAGATGCTAGGTTAGACGGGAAGGATGGTCCCGCAATCCGCAGTGTCCAACGCGGACTGGGTAGAGAGGGAAGCGTGGAGACCGAACGCGGCTGGACATGCCAAGGACGCTGGGAGAGGCAGTCTTGCTGCCAAGCCATGTGGAACCGCTGGTCAGTGTCTTTTGGGGGCCAGGAAGGTGCCAAGTGCTGATCTCAGCCCTGCTTGAGGGGCCAAGGTCCTGGCCGGAAGTGCTTCTGTTGGCCACCGGGGGCACTGGCGAGGCATGCCTGCACATGGCTGGCAGCAGAGGGAGCCTGGGGACCTGTGGGACAGTGGATGCGGTGGAAAGTTCCAGTGAAGCTGCACGCAGGTGGCCCTTGTCTGGCGCTGGTCCCCTGCGCTGCCGCACCCCTCCTGCTTCTGCCTCCCTGGGAAAAGTCAGGCCCTTCCCCTCCCCCCAGCCCCCCCAGTGCCCATGTGGAGGCTGGGCACTGAGGTCTGTCAGGATGAAGGCCTTTGTCCACAGCAGTCCCGGGCTGCCTTGGGAAAGCGCTCAGAGCGGCCCTCATTCCCCCCTGCCCTGCAGACCACTGGCTACTGAGCTGCCCCATGGCCAGCCAGGCTTGTGTGTGGGGTCTGGACACCAGGGACACTCCGGGCACAGCACAGGCCTCCGGAGAGTCTCTGGAATCACTGGGAACATCCATGGCCGCTGCCGGCTTCGACGCCAGCAGTGGGGAGAGGGCGTGGGCCTCGGTGTCCCTATCTGTAGGAGGTTCCATCCATGGCCCCGCTGAGGCCACCAGCTGACCAGGAAGAGGGCCGGAGCTAGATAGGTCTGCCCCTGGTGCCTGGCAGGTGACTGGTCCCCTCAGGCCCCTGCTGTGTGGACAGAAAGCCCCCGGGGCTCAACCCGGGCTGTCGGTCACCACTTACAGACTAAACCAAAGCAAGCAGAGCCACCTGCCCCGGGTGACACAAGCAAGGACAGGCTTCCGCCAGTCCCGGCCTGGTGGCATCATCTCAAACACGCGGTTCCAGTTACCATGCACTGGCAGGGGTCCATGGGTGGGCCAGCTGCTCCTCACGGACCCTGGGGGTCAGGAACAGAAAGCTACCTGCTAGCTCTTCTGCCAACTGGGGGGGGGGGGGTGTTATACATGCACACACACACACATCTTGTGCATGCACTTGCATGACCCTATGCATGTGTGCACACACCAGTGCACGTGCACACCCATGCACACAAGCCTATGCATGCACAGCTGTGCATGTGCACACCCATGCATGTGTACTCGCACCTCTGCATGGGCCCTCAGACCCGTGTGCACACATGCCACTTACACCCACCCATGCACACTCACACCTCCTCCTTACTGCCCAGCAGCTCCTGAAAAACCAGGACTTGCTCAGCATGGAGCTGGAGAAATGGAGGCTTGGGCTGCCCAGGGCCCCAGCTCCCAGGTCAACCCCAGGCTGTGGCTTTCCCGAATGCTGGCCCTGCCCTGTCCCACAAGGCAGCCGAGAAGTTAACTTCTGTCCAGGCTGGGCCTGCCCTGGCCCTACCAGCCACTGCCAAGGAGCCGCTGACCTCTGTGGCAGCCCCAGGGCGGGCGGGGGGGGGGGGCGTCTCTGGGAGTCTGTTTCTAGTCTGCACTGCCTGGGGGGGAGTGCACCCCAACTCTCACAGAATCTGGGGTGCGGTGGGATGACAGACTCCCCGGCACGTGCCGGGTGCCCACCCCACTCCAGCAGCAGCTCACCCACAGGCAGGCGCCTCCCACCCCACCGCCTGCTGAACGGAGGGAGGCGAGCTGCTGGGGGCAGGGTGGCCTCCAGCCCCAGGGCCGCCCCAGAGAGGGGCCTGCAGGCCTCCTCGGTCCCCGGCCAGACCTCATGGGCAGGCAACGGCCGGAGCACCCCCAGACGCCACAGCTGTCCCTGGCTGGGGCAGATGGGGCGTTGCCAGGGCCAGTCCCCCCCCCCCCCCACACAGACCCTGAGCTCTCGCTGCGACTCGTGGCTAGACTGCGGCCGCGTTCAGGGTTGCTGTGCACATCTCAATTTTAATGCCATCTGTCGTTTAAACCTCTGAAGCCCCAGCTTGCCTGCGGGCGCCTCCTCCCGCCGTCCGTCAGCACAGGGCGCCCGGCACGCTCTGGGCGCCAATCGGGCAAGAGGCCGTGGTGCCCACCCGAGACTGTGGTCCTCTGTCATGGCCAGCTAGGGCACAGCCGCCCCTCGGTGTCCAGCGAGGAGGGCGCACGGGGACCAGAAAGCTGGGCCCATCTGGAGCCGGCTGGGGCCGGCGCTGCAGGAGCCGTGCCCTGAGAACTGTCCTGGGTGCCCGCGGCCATCTTCCTTCCGCAGAGCGCACACAGCCTGCGCTTGGCCCCATGTCTGGGCGCACGGGGCCAGGGCAGCGCCCTGGGCACAAGGCCGCCGCGTGCGCGGGGCCGGGCGGAGCAGCGTCTCGGTCAAGGCTGGGTCTTGGGCCAGCTACACGTCCGTCTCCACCCGCAAGCGCTCCATCCGGCGGACATTGTCCTCCACGGCCACGCGGCTGGTGATGGTCTGGGCGAAGCCGTCGGGGAACCAACCCGTTTCTCCGTCCCGCAGCCTCTCTCCGTACAGCCACCCTGCAGAGCCGGGGCAGTGAGGGGCAGCGGGGGACGGCAGGCCCACGGGGCTCTCGGACGTGAGGTTTGCGTGTGGAGCTGCCCGCCCCTCCCAGCGTCACCCCAGTCCCGTGGGGGGAACCCTCCCGCTCAGGCAAGGCCCCGAGGAACTTGTTCTCGCTCATTCTGGTCATTTTCAAAGTTCTCGCGGGGTGGGGGACGGAGGAACACGCAGGTCCCCCCTGCTCGGCCACAGCGCTCAGCCTCCCCTCCCCCACCATTATCCCCCTCCCCCCAACCCCCCGCTCACCGTCCTCCTCCTGCAGGACCAGGACCACGTCCGCCTGCTGCAGCGTGATCTCATCCGCCTGCTTGGCGAAGTAGGCCTTGGTGATCTCCACCTGGGGCAGCTCTGGGGGGGGGGGGGGGGGGGGGCGCGGGAAGGCATCGTGACAAGCTTGGAACTGTTTGGGGGGGGGAGTCCTGCAGCCCCGCCCCCTGCAATACCTGCCCCTCCCCTGCCCATTGCAGCCCAGCAACCCCCCCCCCCCCCCCAAGACCCTGCTCTGGAGGCCAAAGGCCCCAGCAGTGGCAGAGTATGGCCGCCCTGAGCCTCCTCTACTCTGTGGCCTCCGCTTCCCCAGCTGTAGGTCCGGTGAATCTGCCCTTAGAGCCCAACAAAAAGGTAGAGTCTGGACCTAGGAGAGCTCTCTGAGGGAGGCCCAGTGCCTGGGGCCGGCAGGGGTGAGGCCCGGGGCTGGAAGCTGCCCCCTCTCTGGCCAGGCCCCGCCCCACACCCACCTCCTTTGCTGTCCAGGCCCTGCCACTGCCTCTCCTTGTGAGTGAGCGCTGTGATCCAACGGGCGCGATCGCTCCTGGGGGCGGACGGGAACGTGAGCCAGGCCCTCCCTCTCCCCCTCCATGCTGGGGCTGCCATTCTAACCTGCCTGCGTTCTGACCCCTGCTCCACCTTGCATTGTGGCTCCTGGGCGAGGTGTCCTACCTCGGGGCCTTTGCATGGCTGTGCCCTGGAGAGCACTGCCTATGTCTGCTGCCTGGCTCTCCCCTCCTCTGAGCTTCCACGTCACCCGATAATGACGAGGTTTCCTTCCCACACTCCATCCTTGCCTCGCCCTCCCGGGGTCTGAACAGCTCCGTGGTTCCTGCCCTGCATGCCCGGGCCCCAGCACACACGTGCCCGGAGGCAGGCTGTGGGCGAGGTGCTTGGAGCAGCGCCCGCCCCCCCACCGGGAGCTGCCACCCGTCTTACGCGGAGTCCGAGGACAGCAGGATCTGCTCCTGGCGACCCTCACTGTTCCGCAGCAGGGTCACCTGGAAGGGGTGGGGCACAGAGGAGCTGCGGCTGCCGCCCGCCGGCAGAGAGGGCTCCGCCGGCTCCAGCTTCCGCACCTGCACGTGCTCCAGCTGGGCGTAGTCCTGGACCAGGTAGCTCTCCTCGCTGTGGGGACGTGGGGAGGGGGTGTCGGTGGAGCCCCCTTCACAGGGACTGCCCAGACAGGCCCCAGGCCCGGGGGCAGAGGCCCGGGGCCCACAGAAGCCCTATGCTGCAGGAGCAACCTGGCCGGCCTGTATGGCACAGGGCTGAGTGCCAAGGTCAGCGGGCCTCGGGACACTTCTCTGCCCCCTGGCCTCTGTCTGCCCCGTCGCTGGGCCCCTGGCCTGGTATGTTCCCCTCCCCCCGTCCCTGGGCCCACGGGCCGGCGCCCACCTTTTCTTCTTGGTGATGATCAATACGTCACTGAACAGGAATAGGTAACACGTCGGCCGGCTGGCGATTTTCCTAAAAAGCCCAGTTTCCTCCACCAGGACCAGCTCCCCCCGCTTCAGCAGCCAGCGGGAGGCGGAGATCAGAGGAAGGGACTGGGAACAGACAAGTCAGGTGGGCAGCTGGCCAGCACCACAACCCCTGGACCCCTAAATGGGGTGCCCGGCTGGCTGCCAGACAGAGGGCCCACGAAGTGTGCAGGGGCTTTACACAAAGCTCGTGCAACTGGCTGACATGCCCTGGATGCCCAGCGGCCTGGACAGCTCTGTCCAGCCTCCAGCCAGGCCACAGGTTTGCTGGGCAGCTGCTCAACATCCCCGCGGGGCTGGGGTGAAGGCCAGGTTCAGAGGCCTGTCCTGAAACCAGCTGCCCCCTTCAAACAGGAGAGGAGCCGAGCACAGGTGCACATGTGCGGGGGGGGGAGGGGGGGGAGAGGGGGGAGGGGCAAATGCTCGACACCCTCACACCCCGTCCACCAAGCCCCCCTGGAGGCTGCCTGCCCTCTCCAGCTCTCACAGGCTCCACCGCAAGGCCGCCCTGGGCGCTGGGACTCAACGCACAATGCAGGACATCTCTGGGTTGACAGAGTGGCCAAGGCCCCAGACAGGAGGCCCGGGCAGGACCACACTGGTGGCTCGTTGAGGGCTCTGTGGCAAATGAGGCCTGAGCCCTTCTGACGGGAGGGGCCGCGGGCTGCCCAGGCCAGGCTAAGTACCTTGGCTCTTCCACAGGACCTGAGCCTCACTAAGCCTGGGCTGGTCCTCAGATCAGCGTCCTTGGGGACGGCCAGAATGCAATCCTGGGTGGGCAACGCCAGGGGCCTGGGCAGGGGGCTGCGGGGAGACGCTCAGGCCAGGCACTCCCCAGAGGCCCCTCTTTGCCCTCAGTGGCCCCTGACCGCAGAGGGAGGACTGCAGGGAGCGGGGGGGGGGGGGGGGGCTGGCAGGGGCCTGGCCCCGAGGACACCCACCTTGACCTTGCCGAAGTCCAGCTGCGTGTGCAGCGTGTACATCTGCTCCGTGCGCTCCATCCTGTGGGCTCCCTCATTGCACTCCTTCACCAGCTGCAGGCGTAGACATGAGTGAGCCGGGCCGGGCCGGCCCTGGCCTCGGCTTCTCCGCCTGCAGCGTGATCCCCGAGCCTCCCCAGCCTCGCACGGTGCTACCAGGCTGGTGGGGGGGAGGAGGACTGGGGGAGCAGAGGTGGCGTGGAAACGGGGGGGTAGTTCAGGCAGGGCGGGGCGCCCCACCACCTGACTCCTCACCTTGCTGATGGCCTTCAGTGCCCGGCTGGCGGCCTTGTACCTTTCAGGATGACCCTGAGTCTTGATGCAGAGTGTCTGGGAAAGACGCAGCAGTGAGAAGGGGCTCCCCACCAATCCCAGACCCTGTTGGACAAGCAGTGGCCCCCAGAAGACTCCTGCTGGGTGTCACCAGAGGCCCGCACGTCAGGCTTCACCATATCAAGCCAGATCGAGGGGAGCAGGCGTGGCACCCCACACCCCTGCTGCCCATCTGGGCCGTCTTCTCCCGCTGGAGGGAAGCGAGGGTGGAGGTGGCGGCCCCACCGCCAGGGCTCTAGGGGCTGAGGTTCCTCGCCAGACTGTGGGCAGCCAGCTGGGCTTGTACCACATGTACGCCTGGGTGTACAGGTACACGCGTGTGGACGCCTGGGTGTGCAGGTACACGCGTGTGGACACGGGCGCACTCGTGCATGTGTGCACTCGGCAGGCCACAGCAATCATTTCCAATCACTCCGACAGAGCCAGGGTGGAGGGGGCAGTGGGAGGGGCAGTGCCTGGCTGGGGGAGGGGGGCCTCCAGGGTGGGCCCCCACCGCGGGGCGTAGACGGGGGTCCATCGGGGGACTCACGTCGGTGAGGAGGGGCAGCCGGGTGACTCTCTGCATGGGGAGAATGAGGAAGGAGATCATGGGGAGGCCTCCGCACGCAGGCCGCTTCTCGATCTCCCTCAGGACCTCGCGGAAGGTGGCGTTGCTGGTCCTGCAACGGAAGGCAGGGCCGTCCCTTCAGCTGGGGGCGGGAGCCCTGGGGGCGGCCCACGCAGAGGTGGGGGGGCGGGGAGGGCCCCACACGAGGGCCGCACTCACGAGAGCTTCTGCAGAGTGCGCTGCTGGTAGACCTCGTTGGCGCAGTAGGCCACGTAGGGGTGGAAGTGCCGCTCGGCGTGCTCCTCCAGGATGTCGCTGATGTCCTCCACGCACACCTGCTGCTTGTGCCGCTGCTCCAGGGCCTCGAAGAACCTGCGGCGTGCAGGGGGGGGGGGGGTGAGGGCCTGTCCTGGAGGCCCGTGCACATGTGTGTGACGCAGACAGGCACGCACAAATGTGCGCCCACACAGGCACGTGAGTGTACACACACACATTCACATGAGAGGATCCACGCTCCTGGAGGCAGCATAAAGCAGGCGTGCGGCGGGCCAGATCTCAAGCTGAACGAGAGCGCGGGGGGCCGGCGCGCCGCAGTCCCACCGTGTGCTGGGAGCCAGGGCCCCTCCAAGACAGCCACCACCCGTGCAGCATCAGACGCACGCGTGGCCTGGACACGAGCTCAAGAGCAGAGGGAAGTTCCCAGCCTCCTAGGCCCCAAGGGGCCTTGCGGGGCTCCGAAGGACGAGGGAGGGGGCCTTCTCCAGGGACACAGGCCTTGCATGCTCTGCCAGGCGAGCTCAGGCCATGCTCCAGGGCGTTCTGAGGGGCGGCCCACGCAGGCCGTGAGGGCCCGGCTGGCAGACCTAAAGGGAAGGAAGCCCTCCGCTCCTCTCTGAGCCAGGCCTTGGACCGGGGTGGCGAGGACAGTGAGCTGATCCCAGCAGAGCTTGGCTCGGGGCTCTGCTAGTCTTGGCTGGACCAACAATGGCTGCCCGGGGGGTGGAGCCTTCTGTCTATCCTGCAGTCACTAGAAGGGCCAGACTCTGAGACCCGACTACCCCTCGAGGCCTGGGTGGGCCTGCCCTGCCCACTGCTGGACTTCTGTCTGTCTGAGAAGCCTCTTCACTGGCTGGGACATGACCGAGTCCCTAGGGGCCCTGCCGTGCCCTCCCTGCAACCAGGGACACTCTGAAGGCCTCTGCCCTTGGGAAGCCCTAGACTACGAGATGCTAGATCAGGACATCCTGTGGACGAGGTCAGAGAAAGCAGAGGCCCAGCTGCCTTCAGGCCGGGCCAGTCAGCTGACACACATGACTCTGGGATTTCCAAGAGTGGACCACCAGCCACTGGCCCAAAATAGCACTGGTCCCCAGGGGAGGCCATTGTAGAAGGCCAGAGGAGGCAGCCAAAGTCCCACCGGACACAGGGATGACTGGCCCGAAGCCTGTGGAGTCCGGAGGCAAACAGCCTGCTCCACAAAGGGGACCCCACCAGGGAGGCCAGATGGGGGCAGCTCCGAGTCAGAGGTGGGGAGCTTCTGACACCACAGCTCTAGAGGAAGCCCCCCCACCCCCCCCCGAGGGAGGACAGTCCCGGCCCCGCAGCTCCCGGCGTTGAGGGTGGACGCGCCCACAGGCAGCAGATGTGGTGGACTTGGGAGAGGCGAGGCTGATTCCAGCCATGTTCCCAGAGCTCAGCCTCGAAGCCTGAGCGCCATGACCCACCCACCTCAGGCCCACCTGGGCTGCGTCCTCAAGGAATTAGATGGACACAAGCACACACACACACACACACACACACACACACACGTGCACACGCGATCAGACATGTTCACACAGACACGTGTGTACGCACACCATGCACTGGCATGAGCACACACACGAGACAGCCACACACACACACATACACGCACGTAAGGCATGTATATAATGCTCTCGTGTAATGAATACACATGCCCATCAGCATAATGCTCATACAAGCCCACACACGTGTATAATACATGGACGCATGGGACACAATGTATACAAACTGCAGAAATGCACATGCGTGCAAGGCACATACGTGGGTACGCATGCATATGCACACGTGCACACACACCCCTCTGCAGGCCTACGGCTGCATATTTGGCCCATCCTCCACCTCTGGGTCCTGCAACCAGAGCACAGCTCAGCCACCAGACACTACTGCGCAGAACATGACCTGGGCTGAAACTTGAGGGTGCTCCTTGGCCTGGGGAGCGCCCTGTAGGCACAGCCTCCTTGTTAGGCGCGCCCATGGCAACGCCTGGCCAGGCGGCCATCCGCAGCCAGCACTGCGGAGCAGGCTGCCCTGTGGAAATCACCCACCTCTCCCGAGTACTCAGCCTGTCACCCAGGCTGGCTCCTGGAGGCTGCTCCTAACAGTCCTGTCCCCAGATGCAGCCCCTCTCCCCAGAGCCGGCTGATGCCTCCATGCTGACTGATGGGGGGGGGTGCTTCCCAGACGTCCTGCCTTTGAGAGGGGGTCTACATGGGGGCTGGGAGAGAGAGACTCACTTCTGGCTGGCGGCCAGCACGTCCAGGATGTTGGAGAAGAGGTGGTGGTACTCCATCTGCGTCATGGCTGCCCGCAGTTCTTGGGACTGCAGGAACTCGGCCACCAGGATGCTCAGGCTGTGCAGGTAGGAGTACTCAGACGTGAGAATCTCAAACATGGCCTGTGGCAAGAGCAGAATGGTGAGCAGCTCTGCCCCCGTGAACGTATGCTCAGGGCAGAGGAGCTGAGGGGGAGGAGGTGCTCTGGGCGGCAGGTGGTGGGGTGGGGGAGGACCAGGGATCCTGGGACAGCCCGCCTAGCTCTCCAGCTGAGCGGACCCTCCCTAGCTCCGCACTCTGGCTCAGCCGAGCCCCCATCCTGGCTGGCTGAGGCTTTGTGAAAAGACTCAGAGAATGGCTGGGCTGAAGCAAAGGCCACAACACTCAGCCAGCATGATGGACTCCAACTGGACGAGGACATCACTCTGCCCCCTAAGCAGGTGCTGTGTGGCTTCCATGGTCAGGACGCCCCCGCCGGCACCCTTACCTCCTGCCTCTTGCGCTCCTCCGGGGACAGCGTGTCTAAGATGCCTGACTCCACCACCTGAGGAGGGCAGAGGGCTGGGAGTTACAGATTGCACATCCTGGAATCGAGCCCAAGCCCCCCTGGGGACCAGAGCTGACGTGAGGCCGGAGCAGCCCGGAGGAGGCCAGGCAAAGCCAGCCCTGCCCAGAACCCCTGCAGCTGCCCGTGATTGGCTCAGAGCTGGCTGGTCCTCTCTCTCGAACCCCCAGGGAGAGCCGGGCCAGCCCAGGAGGAGTGACAGGTGTCTAAGGCAACACTCCAGGTGGGAGGATCTTGTTCCCAAAAATCTGCCCTAGTGGGAAGGCCGGAAGCCCACCCAGGGAGAAGAGTGCCGGGCAGGGACACAGGCAAACAGCACCCAGCAGGTGTGTGCATCAGGGTTCGGGGGCAGGACAGTGACATGGAGCCAGCCTGGTGGCACTGCCAGCGCTCTCCGCCCTTGGGGCCTGTGGCCCACAGGCAGCCTTGGTTAGAGCATAGTTCCTACAAGCTGTGGCATGCCTTGTCCCTGCAGAGCGGGCCTGGCCATGCTGGATCCGGGACCATCATGACTGCTCTTCCCCTCTCGACTAGACAGTTTGGCCACGGTGCCCAGGCTTCTTACCCAGCCAGGGTCTGATATCGAGCACCGTTTTGGGAGCGCAGTGTTCTGGGCCCCGCCCAGGCTGAGGGGCGGGAATGCACACGGATCCACACCCCGCAGACATAACACTCGTGTGCCCATACTCCCCTCTCCACCGGGCTCTGCCCTGCTGCGTGTGCCATAGCAGCGGCCCAGAGCATGGAGACAGCCAGGGAGGGGCGCCACAGTCCTGAGACAGAGGGCAAGCCAGTCAGCCTCCCTGCACAGCCACGGCCCTTCTGCTTTCCATCCACAGCAGTGCCCTGGGCTCCCACAGCCGGACAGGCTCCCTTTCCAGACATGAGAAGGAAAGCGGCTTGCCCTGGCATGTGGCTCACTGTGGAAGCCAAAGCGTGGCACTGGCTCCAAGCCCCGAGTCCCCCTGCTCGGCTAAATACCCCTCCTCCTCCAGATCCTCTGAACCTGTCCTCAGCTGAGGGCCCAAGGGGCCCGCACCACGTACCCTGCACGTCTGTCTGAGCAGGGGTGATGACAGAGGACCAAGCAGGTCCCTGACTGCCCTCCCTTCCAGTGACTGCAGGGGGCTTGTTGTGGCCTCCACCTGGCTGGCCTCTGCCATGGGCCCTACCTCCGGGAGCTGGCTCCAGGTGACCTGAGCGGGCCGGTAGCTCTTGACGACGATGGTGGTGTCCACTCTCCGGGCCCCCTCAGGGCTCGGGGGCTCATCCAGCACATCATCGTCGGACTCGTGGCTGGTGTTCAGGCCCCGCTCCCGGATCTCCTGGTAGAACCGGGGGTCTGAGGGAAGAGCAGAGTCACCGTAGGGGACAGAGCAGAAGGCTTTCTATGCTCCCCACTCCCTGACAGCACGGGACACTGCAGGGGCCCCAGGGTAGCTCCCCGCTGGCTCCTGTGGCCCTGTGGGGTCACCAGGAAGTCAGCTGGTAGCCCAGTGATGAATAGGCTGAGCTGACCAATGGGAGCCATGCAGGGACAGGTTATGCCTGGCCTGGGAGGGGAGGGGCCAAGGGGCCTCTGAAGGCCGGGCTTGGGGGGTGCTGGGTGCCACCTGGTGGCTCCGTCCCTGCAGCAGCCGGGAAGCTGGCCGTGAGCCCTGGAGAACTGCTCGGGCCTTGCTGAGATGGTCGAGGAAGACTTGGTCCTCGCTCCTGGCTGTGGGCATCCTGCCAGGACCACGGCATCATGGCACACCTCTGAGGTTGGGTGGGGGCACCCGAGCCCCCAATCCTTCCCAGGCCTCACGGCCTCCACCTAGCCAAGCGACTGCAGTCTTTAGCAGGTGCACAGTGGCCATCCCTGCTCCCCCGCCCCCCAGCCCCCAGAGTGGGCCTGGAAGATGCGCGCAGAGTGCACCCCACGATCTGGCCTCGGTTCCACTGGGTGCTCACGGGCGACCCTCCTCCCGCGTGGGTTGCACGGGAAGGAGGAGATCTGGTAGTGATAGTCACGTTGCCCCCGGAAGGACTCTCAAGCTCCCCGGCATCATCCAGACCAGCTTCCCCTGACAAAGGGCAAGGCCTCGGCGGCCGCAGGAGCTACCTACCGTCCTTGAAGGAGCCCTTTTGTGCACGCTTCCGCCCCAGGGTCTTCTGCAGACACAGAGACACAGACCATCAGTCGGGGTGGGGGACACGGGGATCCCACGATGGGAAAGAGCTTGGCTGAGCACACAGAGGGGGTCCAGCTTCACCGGGGCCTCTGGACTGCCAGGCAGAGGCCAGGACCAGTGGGAAGGGTGGAAAGGGCTGGAGCAGGCAGAAATGGGGACCGAGGCCGGGCAGATCCAGGCAGGCCTCCTGGTGGAGGGGGGACCCATGAGATTACAGGAAGGCTTGGATGGAAGCCGGGACAGGCAGAGGGCCAAGGTGGGGCCGTGGGGTAGAACCTGGGGTGGTAGTAAGAACAGGCCAGCTGGTTACTGCCTGATCTCTGGCACTGGTCAGGTAGTGCACAAACTAAAGGAGCCCAGCAGAAGGGACCAGGGGGCCCAGCCTCGGGGGCCTCACCCCAAGCTGCCCACCGAAATTGCAGGCCAGCAGAGGGGACAAGGAGGCTGAGCCCCAGGGGTCTCACCCTGAGCTGCCCACTCAGAGCCCACTACTTGGCCAGGACACCAGGCTTCGGAAGGTCCGGTTCCAGGAAGGCAGAGGCCGGTTTCTGGTTTCTCAGAACCAGTTGGGGCCTGAAAACTCCCCTTGCTGGTTGGGGAAGGGAGGCGCTCCCAGCCACACCTGGCCCGGCTCCCTCAGCACCTGGGGCCGCCTGGCCACCTCCTCCCAGCCCTCTCCTGGTCCCCCGGCCTCCCTGCTTCAGCCTCCTGCCCAGCCTGGGCCTGAGCAGTGAGGAGCCGCTTCTTCTGCGCTCCCTGCTGGACCTCGGCACCCCCACTGCGTCCCCTCCGTCCTGGGGCTCCCCAATGATGGGGCCTGTACCCCAGAGCAGGGCATGCCCTGCAGCTCAAGAAATGAGCGAAGGTGGGGTCATCAGGGAGCGAATGATGGAGAGGTTGCAGGCCTGGCCCCGGGAGGCAGACGGTGCTACCCTTGCAGCTGGGACGTAGGGGCCCACTGTGGACATTCCACTAGTGTTGGGGTCTGGTCATCTCAGGTGGGCAGAGAAGGGCGCTGGGGTCACAGGCCCCACCTTGGCCTCCGGCGAAAGCCCAGGGCCTGTCCAGGTGGCCCTGCCTGGCAGCTGCCACCTTCACACACAGTCTCGGCTCCTTCCAGGGTCCAGCCAGGGCCCAGGGCCAGGAGAAGTGGACCCTGGGCCCAAACTCTGTGCCCCCTGCTCCTGGAGTGCACCGCAGGACAGTTGTCAGACAACCCCCTCACCCACGGGAACCGGGGGGGCACCCGGGCGGGCTGAGGGAGGCACTGTGGAGGTGCCCAGGCAGGCTCTCCTGTCCTGTGCTCCATGGGAGCCTGAGCCACCCAGGCCCTGCTGCACCCCGCCCAATAGGACCATGCAGGATAGGCGGGGCCCTAAAACCCTACAGCCCTATTCTGGAGATAAGACACTGTGCCCAGGGGCCAGACAACTCTCTCTCAACACGGCCTTCCTGCTAGGGCCTGGCCCTCAGCTACAGAAAGCAGGTAACTCAAAGGGTTCTTGAGGCATGGGGTAGAGCCCCGAAAGTCCCCTCCTTCCCCCCCCCCCCACACACACCCGGGCTGCAGTAACTACTCCAGGGGGGATGAAGGCAGAGCCTTCCCAGCTTCAGGGCCTGATAGGGAAGTCTGGGAAATGGACAGAATGGTATAGGGGTAGACTCCTCCAAGGCTAGAGATTAGGGCTCTGCCCACCTCCCTTCTCAGTCGGTCAGGAGCCCCCTGGGCAGGGCAGGCCGGGACTGGTCCTGGCATTGGACAGGGTGGGTCCAGCTCAGACTCAGAGAGTCGCCAGGGCCCTGCTGTCCACTCTGGATGTGGGTGGGGATGTGATCTGCAGGCAGCCAGATTCTTGACCCCGCTGAGCCTCTGCAAACCCGTAGGACAGGGTGCTGGCCCTCACTGCTGGCCTCTGGGCTCAGCCAGAACAATCTGGTCAGCAGCCTGAACTCAGTAGGGCTCATTCACAACAGCCACCAAGATGAGGGAGGAGGAGAGCCAGCTGGGCACCACCCTGCCCCTCAAGCCCCCGGGCTGAGCCAGCTGGGCACCACCCTGCCACTCAAGCCCCCGGGCTGAGCCAGCTGGGCACCACCCTGCCCCTCAAGCCCTGGGCACCACCCTGCCCCTCAAGCCCCCGGGCTACCCTTACCTTGTTTTTGGCTGGACAGCGGGCTGACGGCTGGCTGGACTCCTCGGCTAGAGCCTGGAGCTTGGAGCTGAGCTGGACGGCGTCCCCCTTACCGCCTGGTGGCCCCAGGCCCTTCATTGCCGCCCGGTAGGACTGATTCCTCAGGTTGCGCTTCAGCATTCCCCTGGGGCCTGCGTCCATGTCCATGTCATCCAGGGAGAAGCTGGGTGCCGGGAGGAGCTGCGGGTCCCTCCGGGCCGCCTCCTTGCTGAGCATGGCTGCCCCAAAGCTCTGGTGTCGTGCTGGGGTCTTGGCTTTGCTGGCCACGGCCAGGCTCCTGGGGATGAGCTGCTGGGTGCCCATCTTGAGGGCCGCGGGGCTCTGCGTGCTCAAGATAATAGGCCGCGACTCCTTGTCCTCTGTGGACGATGCCGGTGGCACTGAGGCCTCGGGCTCGAAGGCAGCATTGGTCCTTGCCCTAAGGGAGCCCCGGACCATGGGGAGACCAGATGCGGGGTTCCCATTGGCATCGAGCTGCAGCTCGGAGTGGAAACGGTATTCCAGGAGCTTGTCCTCCAAAGAGCTGTCCGAGTGCCGCTGTGACATGCTGGGCGGCTGCGGGGCCTGGGGGACAGAGGTGAGGGGGTGAGGGGGGCCTCCCCCCATGGTTCTCTGGGACGCCCATCCTTAGCACCTGCCCTGTGCACAGCCCCCAGGACACAGCAGGCTGGGGATATAAGCAAGCGTGGAGCTGGCCGTCAGATCAGCCTGTCCCTGGGCGCGTCCCTGGGAGACGCCACAGCCCACCGGAGCTGCACAGGGAGCCAGGGACGGCTCACCCCAGCTCCTGCCCACAGCTCATCAGAGGACGGAGGCCGAGCCCCTCCTGGGGTTGTGGTAGCCACTGGCTCTGTGCTGAGGGGCGGGGGGGAGGGGGTAAGACTGTGGTGGAGCTCAACCTCATTCCATGCCCGTAGCACACATCAAGTCCTGGGCAAGGACAGGAAGAGACAGTTGAGTCCTGCAGACCAGGACTAGAAAGAATTCTGGCCAGTTCCCGATGCCACCTGGTGGGCACAGGTCTTCTAAAACCACTTTATCAGAGCCCAGGTGAAGACGATCCTATTTCCCTGATCAGATGACCGACGGTGACCCCAGCCCTGCCTTCCTGGTGGTCCCCGAGGAAAGCTGGCTGGCTGGCAGCCCCGGGACACAGCAACCTAAGCCTGGCTGCTTCTCCCTTCCATGGCTGGGGCACACCATCCACACCACCACGACTGGCGATCAACCCCCTGCCTCTCCATGGTGGCCACATGCCCGCACTGGAACCCGTGAGCTCGGGGTGGGACTGACAAGCCGTCTCAGGAGCCATGGTGGGCCCGGTGGCGGGGACCGGGGTGGGTGTGGAGCCAGCCGGGGACTGAGGTGTTTACAGGGTTCTGGGACCGGAGCCACAGCCAGCGCGGCTGGGCAGGAGCCTTACAGCCGCCCCTGCAGCATGCAGTGCCCCTGTGGGCCACCAATTCTCACCCATGGACACGCCGGCCAGTCCCACCGGGCAGCTGTGTCCCCGAAGCCCAAGCCCACCCCTTTGTCTTCTCCACTGCCACTGACGGGTCGCTGTGCTCCTGGCCTGCAGGGTGCTTGGCCCCAGCCCTCCCCCAGCCCCCTTTGACACAGAGCAAGGTGGGAGCAGAGCAGGCACAGGACTGGGTTTTGTCAACGAGGAGAAGGTGGTTAAAAGGAACATGTGTCCTGTTTATTTTGGTCGGTCGTGGGGCTTGAACTCTGGGCCTGGGCGCTGTCCCTCAGCCCTTCAGCTCAAGGCGAGCGCTCTACCACTTGAGTCACAGCGCCACTTCTGGTTTTCTGGTGGTTCACTGGAGATAAGAGTCTCATGGACTTTCCTGTCCTGGCTGGCTTTGAACCGAGATTCTCAGATCTCAGCCTCCTGAGTAGCTAGGATGACAGGCAGGATGCGCTGGCACCGGGCCGGAGGCAGAACCTTAAAGCTGGGTGTGAGACTCACCACCATGCCAACCCCTCCATCCTCCCGCATCCGCTCTCCGCAGCACCCCTCCCTTCTGGCTCAGGAACAGAAACCCAACGTCCTCAACGATCAAGGAACACCACCGCTCCACCCAGGCCCTAGTGTGTAACACGGACACACTGAGGACACAGCTACCTCCTGAAGGCGTCCAAAAGGGGCCACACCAGCAAGTATCAGGGCCAGGCTGAATCCAAACTGCCTTCCTCGTCAGACCAACTTCTGGTCCTCAGGCTGCATTGACGGCAGAGATACCTGGGCACTGGGGACCTCGGCAGGATCCAAACCCCCCAAACTCACTGAGGTTACCCCACCCCACCCCGCGCTCCTTTTTAAAAATAGCAACGGGGAGTGTAGATGTTAAGATGTGAGTCTCACCAGGTCTGATGCTGGTGTCCGGTCTCAGATGGGGTGACGGGCAGAGTCGGGGGTCCACATCAGTGGGGAGGCTGTGGGCTGAGTGCCAAGCCACCACAGCCTTGCTATTTCCTGGTGGACCTAGAAAGGAAGGTTCCCCAGGGCTACTGGCACCTCTTCGAGCCCAGGGGTGACCGCGGCTTTCGACCTGCAGTGTCTGGAATTGAGGGCTCAGCAGCTCCCAGCCCTAGCCTACCTTCTCCCCCGCCCCCCTCCCCAGCCTAGGAATCTCTCCCTGCAGGGTGGGGCTGGCCCTACAGCTGAGGCAGCTGTGGGCCACCCAGGAAGCTGGCTGGCGGTCCCTGCCCAGCTCCTAAAGCCACCAAGCTCTCCCACTGCACAGGACATGGTGCCCTGCTAAAGCTAAAAAAATCCGGTCCCAGGAAGGCACACACGCTGGCTGAGGCCGGGCGGGGGAGGGGCTGGAGCCCTGGCTGTCTCTGAGGGCGCATTCCTGAGGACATTCCAAGTCACAGGCTGAGGACAACAGAAGCCACACCAGGCCTTCCTCCCCTGGGAACTCCAGTCTGGGATGAGGTGCTGCCAGCCGCGGGGGCTGGGCTGCACCCTCACAGGGCAAGCGCGACAAACCAGTTGAGTTCCGACTTCTACCATCTGAAGACGCCGAACTGCCGGGCTCAGAGGGCAGCCGTTTAGCGGGGGCACACCAGGTCGTCAGAAAGCACAGGGGCCCAGCTGCTCAGGTACCTCATCTCCTACCAAATAAACATCTATCGGCTTTCTCTGAGCCGGTGCCCAAGGCCCAGTGGGAGGCAGCCCCACCCAGCAGAGGGCAAAGTCTGCTCCGGGGCCCAAAGGTGCCCAGACGGGAACCTGTCAGGTGAGCCAGGGACGAGGCGTGACCTCCAGTCCCCGCAAGGCACCACACCCACGGGCCTGGGGCTCCACCTGCCCATGTCCCCCCTGGGATGTGGGCACCTGCCCCTCCCCCAGGAGCCAGGAGCCCACTGGGTGCTCAGCTGTGAAGCTTTCAACGACATTAACGAACTGCGTGCACAGATTGCTCACAGAGCACAGAAGGTCATTTTACGGGTTGGGTGGTCGGCTGACCTCCCTGCCCCCTCCCAGGGCTGCCCTGTCTGCAGACGCCATCACTGCCGGCTGGCACTCCAGCTCTTCCTGGCTGTCTCTGAACACGGCCTGGGCCACACAGCCCTTGGTGACGGGAGCCTGAGGCCTGGCCTGCCTGTTAATGATTTCCCTCAGTTCCACAGCCCATTCTCCTCTGTTAACTTCCCCCAGTGTTCCGGTTTCTCATGCACACATTCCATGCGCTTAGGAAGCACTTTCTGCTTCCGGGCAATGCCCTGGGCACAGGCCTGGTCCTCGGGCCATCCAGGTCTCCCCCTTTGTGTCTTTCTACGCTGGAGCCTGGGCCTCGGGCCTCATCCCTCTCCATGAGAAGCACTCCTGGGCACTGACCTCAGGAAGGAGGAGGACAGATCTGAGTGTCTGAGAATGTCTTCCTTCTTCGCACCGCCTGGTAACTATGGCGAGTCTAAAGTTCCTGCTGAAGATTACTTTCTTCTAGAATCAGGAAGCATTTTCCATGTCTTCAGTGGTACTAAACAGGCCTCCCGAGTCCTTCCAGGCTCTGGGGAGATTCGGGCCCCTCCGTGTTCTTCACTGGCTCAGCGAGGTGTCACACTCACACACACACACACACACACACACACACACACACACACACACACACACACACACACACACACACACACACACACACACACACACACACACACACACACACACACACCGGCTCTGGGGAGATTCGGGCCCCTCTGTGTTCACTGGCTCAGCGAGGTGTCTGGTGGGATTCTTGATCTGCTGGCTCCGATGGTCTGGGCTGTGCTGTGTGAGGCTTCGTATCATTTCTTGGGTAATTTCTCTCAACTCTGTTTTCTCCTTCCAACCTCTGAATTTTCTCCCAGTTTCTTACCTTGTGGTCTTCATGCTCTACAGAGGCCTCTCACGCCCTCCCGTTGTTTTTCGGTCACTGCATCCTGTTCTTGCCTTATGGATGCACAGCTTCTATTAACCGAGGGGAAAAGAATTGCTCTTTCTTGTGCATGTTTCCTCTGTTGGCTGGCCACGGGGGCTTGGCTCTTTGCATGCATGCGTGTGCATGCACACACGTGTACACACACACTCACTCTCCTGTCAGCCTCTGTCTCAGGCTCAAGGCTCTCCTCAAACACCTGCTGGGGACAGTTAGCAGTCTGCTTCTGTTTTCTGCAAGAGGGAGGATGTGTGCTCAGCCACACACTGGGAGCACAGCTTCTGTCCTGTAGGAGATCTGTCCTGCAGAGTATCCGTCCTTCAGGCCCTCCGGTCTCCCATTCCATCGTGCGTGTCTGGCATCTTTCCTCCAAGCTGACTGGCGTCTGAAGAGCATTCCGTCCGTTCTCACTGGGACACCGGCAGAGCCAGGCCAAGAGCGGTGTCTCCCTCCATTGTCCCCTGCAACAGGACCTACTACAGTGCAGCCGGCGCCCCACGAAGTCCCCAGGCCACAGAAGCAGAGGATACTCTCAGAGGGGGCGGCCCGGGTTCTCCCAGGTGGAAGCTCCTCCAAAGAGACACACAGTCGTGAGGGCTCGGCACGCATCCCTCTCTCCCCACAAGTCTGGGAGCCCTGGGGGGCAGGGCGATTTCCTGTTCATGTCCCCACTAACAGGGGGGCAACTCCTGAGCTGAGGGGCTGATGTGTGACACTGGCGCTGGCTCTGCCCTGGTCTCTGCACCCTGGCTCTGTGTCTCGAGGAAGAAGCCCGGCACTCTGTGAGAACTGACCCGCGTGAAGTCTTGGCGTAACATAAGCAGACGCAGGCCAGGGTGGCTCCACAGAGGCTTACAGGCCCGTGCGGGGGCATCTGGGGGCTGTCTTCCTGCTGCTTCAGTTCAGGGGGTGGGCTGGAAAGTCCCCTTCCCCAGGATGGGTGCCTTGGAACCCACGCTATTGTCCCGTGGGGCAGGGAACAGAAGGTGGGGTCGGGCGGGGTCTGCCTCTGGATGCCTCAAGGCCCCCCCCCCCCCCCCCCCCCCCCCCCGTGAGCCTGCCAGTGTTGAGCGGCCTGTGCCTTGTATGTCTGGCTATATGTTGGATCCGGCCTGAGGTAGGCAGGCTGCTCTGAGCCCAGCTCTCTAGTGATTCTTCCCAGCAGATCAGCTTCCCAAGCCCCGGCGGGTACTCACACCAGCCCTTCCGCTCCCCTAGGAGCCTGATTTCCCTGCCTGAGCTATCACTCCTTAAAGCTGCTCATCTCAACCCAAATTACCCTGAGTGGGGTACATGGGCCCCTCCGGGAGCCTCCCTCTCCAGGTCAGGGCAGCCCCGCCCTGGGCATTTCTGCCCTAGCTACCCTATCTGGGGGAGTTCAGCCTCTCCAGCCCCAACCTACAATGGCGCCCTTGTACTCGGGTAATTCTGCCTGGGCGAACCACATCAACTGGGGGCAGGATTTGGCTTTGTAAAGCACAACACACACCAACCAGCACCACTGGCAAGATGGCCAGGGGCTCAGCCTCAGTGACTCTCACCCTGGATCGGCTTTGCTGGGCAGGGGACAGGGTGACACTGGCGGTGGTCACCAGTCCTGGCATCCTGTGACGTGGCCATCTTAGACATCCACAGTGCACAGGATAGCCCTACAGCAAAAAAGGCAGCCAGAACAAAGGTCTGTGGCCACTAACCTGAGTCTCTTCCAGTGGTGGTGGGGGAACTCAGCGGGCCTACCCAGCCCTGGACACACACACCCAGCCTGTGGCACCACTCACGGCTCCCAGTCCATTCCAGGTCCATCCCACGGACCTGGGCCCCATTGCAGGCCGGGCTGGCATGGCCGTGCCCACACCTGGACAGGAGGCAGGCTCTGCACAGCCGTGTCTGTCCGTGGTAAACCAGTGTCCTTCAGTGCTGTCCCACCCACTGTCTTTGACCCTCTCCAAGCTTCTGGAAACGCTTCCTTCTCTGACAGGTGAGGAAAGTGACCTGCTGGGTCAGAACGCTGGCCAATGAGAACCAGGTAAGGTGCCAGGTCCCGCTCTGACCTAGATGACTGTCCCCAAGCCAGGTACCCCCGGCAAGCAGATTCCAGACCTGTCCACCACGATGGGGACACACAGTCACCTGAGCACTGAAGTGCCCCCGGCCGCACGGAGCCGGACACTGACCAGATCCACTGACCAGATCCAGAAACCGAAACCAACACTGCCGCTCTCCCCCCCCCCCCCCAAACGGGCAGCCCTGCCCCACCCAAATGCCAAAGCCAACTCCCTTCCGCAGGCACAAGCTGTGGGGACCCTGGCCGTTCACCACTGTGCCGTTGGCAGCTGCCCCGTGGGGTGCTCCTGTGGAGCTAACGCCTGAGCACCCCTCTCAGCAAGGGTCCCGCCCTACAGACATGAGGGGGAGGTGTGGAGCGCTGGGAGTGGCTCAGGCCACCCCACGCCCAGCTCCTGTGACTTAGGCGCTGAAGCCACCCAGGACCTCTCCCCTCCCACCACGGCTGGGTCCCCGGCTCTGGGCAGTGCTCCCGAGTAAAACCTCCAGTTCTCTCCTTGGACCCCGAGCAGGGGCAGGGATGGTCTGGCTTGTGTCCCCCGAATGGAAGGTGCTCAGTAGCTGACCCGGCCCCTTCAAGAGGCGCTCGCATTACCTCTATTTACGGATGAGCACACCAAGGCGGGAGGCTTAAGTGACTCCTACTGAGCACCATCCGAACCCCAGGTCACATACGGAGGCCCTTGGCCAGGGTGGCCTCAGGGAAGAGAGCCACCAGCAGCCTCTGAGACCCTCCCACCAGTCCAGCAAATGCTAGGCAGGACCTGGCCCCGATGGCTCCATGAGGACCTCCACACCCCCATTTAGTCGGCAAACAGGCGGAGCAAAGCAAGGAAAGGGACCCTTGTGCCCCTTACTAGGGAGGCTGGCTGGGGCCGTCCCTACCCCCTCCCATTTCACACGGGTGGAAACTAAGGTTCAGAGGCGGGGCCGGTGTCCAGGCTGGTAAGTAAGGGACCCACCCACGGCTGTGGAAGCAAACCCTGCCCCTCCGGGCGCCCGAGGAAGCCGCGCCCCTCCCCCTGCGCCAGGGTCCGGGGAAGGGAGGGCGCGGGGAGCCTCGCGTGCCCCCTTCCCCTCTTCAGCGCTCAGGCGAAGCAAATACCCCGCAAAACGCGGGGGTCGCTCCCGCCTGACCTGGGGATTTCCAAGCGTCCTAGCGCCCGCCGAGGGCCTCGCACCCCGCGCCGGGGGAGATCTCCCTGCGCTGTGAGGCTCCCGCCAAGGGCCCCGCGCCGGGGGAGATCCCCGTGCGCTCCGAGGTTCCCGCGCCCGCCAAGGGCCCCGCGCCGGGGGAGATCCCCGTGCGCTCCGAGATTCCCGCGCCCGCCGAGGGCCCCGCGCCGAGGTTCCCGCGCCCGCCAAGGGCCTCGCGCCGGGGAGATCCCCGTGCGCTCCGAGGTTCCCGCGCCCGCCGAGGGCCCCGCGCCGAGGTTCCTGCGCCCGCCGAGGGCCCCGCGCGCCGCCGCAGTTCCCAGGGCCGGCGAGGGCGGCGCTCTGGGCGCAGGGGCGGCGGCTGGACGCCTGCGGCGGACCCCGGGCCGCGCAGGGTGGTCCTGGGCCCCGGGCGGCGCCGGGGTCCCCGCCGGCCCCCGAGGCGGCCGCCCCCCCGTCCCCGGCTCACCTGTCCTCCAGGTCCGCCGGCGCCGCGGGGCGGAGCAGCAGCAACGCGCCGGGCAGCCAGGCGCGCGGTCCGGCCGGCGGCTCGTGCCCGCCCTCCCCGCCCTCCCCACTTCCTGTGCGGCCCGGGGCGGGGCGGGGCGGGGCGGCCCGGGGCGGGGCGGGCCCAGCCCGGCAGGTGGACTCCCGCGGGGCGGGGCGTCGCCCGGGCACCTGCGGGGCCTCGCCTGCTGGCCACGCCTCCCGCGTCGCCCCTCCCGAGCGGGCCCGCGCCCACGGGGCCGCGCGCCGCGGGGTTGGGGGCCGGACGGCCTCGGCTGCCCCCGGCTGCCCTGCGCCGCGCCGGCCACCCTGCCCCGCTCCCTGCCCTGGGCTCCCCCGCCGGCCTCCTCCTCCAGGAAGCCCGGCCTTCCGCATTCTGTGAAGCGGGGCTGCGGGCTCACCACCGCCCCGAGGGGCCAGGCCGACGCCCCCACACCCCGCTTCACCGAGGAGGGCCTGAGGCCGGGAAAGCAAGACGCTAGCCAGCGGCACAGCCTCCCCGGAGCCCTGCGGGCGCTTGTGCCTGGCCTGGCCTGGCTCTCGGTCCACCGCTCCCGGTGCTGGGGAAGGGACTGGGTGCTGCGCAGGCCTGGGCCACACGCGCACAGCAGTTACCTGGGGCAGAGGGACAGAGACGCTGCTGCCATGCATGGTCGCGGCTCGCACGGGGGTGTGAGCGAGCCTGGCTGGGGCTGTGGAGAGCTGGAAGCCCCCGGGCTGTGCCGCCAGGAGCAGGGGCAGGAGCAGGGCTGAAGGAGCCTCTCAAGGCCGTGGCTGCTCGGATGTGGCCAGTGTGCTCTGATGGGTGCCCCCTGCCCCTAGGAGAGGGGAGGGTGCAGCCAGCGCGGGGCAGGTGCCCGCTCCAGGAAGCTGACGCCATCCTGCCTGGACGGCTTTGAGCTGGGGCTACTCACCTCCCGGGTCGGCGGTTTCCTGTTACAAGTCGCGGTGTACCTGTTCCTCGGCCCTGCTGTGTCATCCTTGGCCATTCTTGATAGGACTCTGAACACAGGTGGTTCATGGACTGCACAATGACGCTCCCAAGAGCGTCAGAGCGGACCCAGCGCGCACCCTCTCCTCTGTCACCACAGCTCCTCCTGCGTGTCCAGCTCACAGCAGGAGCCTGGTGCCTGGGGACTCATGGCTGTGGCCCGGGGTCCCAGAACTCTGCCGGGAGCTGTTGTGCGTGCCAGTCCGCTTTCTGACCTTTCAGGAAGGGGCTGTGGCCAGGTGAGAACAACACCCACAGTGAGCTAGTACCTGGGTCCCTGGCCGACCCTGACCTCGGCACGGTGGTCAGGGCGCTGTCCAACTAGGAAGCAGAGCCTCCCCTTACCAGCACTGGCTCTCTGGGCCCAGAGGATGTTTGGGGATCTTTGCATTTTCTTGGGGGCTGGTGTGTGTGTGTGCGGGAGAGAGAGCATGAGGAGGGGCTGTCGGACACTCTTCTCCTAAGCCCTCCACGTGTTACCTGAAGCCCAGTTGTCTGGAGGTGTGTGGTGCCCACCCCGGGGTGCAGGTGGACACTACCTCATGCCACAGGCTAGCCACCATCTTACTGATAGTTCACCGGGCACCCTCAGTCACCTAGGGTGGCTCTTTTGCTTCCAGCAGCTCCCGAGAAAAAGTGGCTCACTGCTGCCTCTCTGAGGCCATTGCGGGCACTGCACCACCACCGGTGGAGAAACTGGGGTCTGGAGTTAGGGCTCCAGACCTACACTTCCTGCTCTCCTGTCCAGCCCTCGAGTAGAACCTGACCTGGTCACTCAGGCCTGCAGGTACTGCTCTGCCTCCACACTGCGTGCTCGGGGGACTTGTCTCAGAAGCCCGCACCAGGCATGGAGGCTTCGGGCCACTCATCCTGGTGGCCTGGGCCCTGGTGCCAGGCATTGGGCTGGAGCGCACGAGTCACTGTTGCCTTCCGAAGCTAAGCTGCCTGTAGTCTGCGCTGGGGAACTTTCTCCTAGGGCCCCTTGGCACGGAAGTGGAGGTGAGTGCCCGTCACTGGCAGCAGCTGCCCCTGTCTGTCACCTGAGCCCTGTGCAACCATCCATGGAGCTTGCTTGGCATCTTTCCGACTTCTTCTCAGGCTTTGGGGCCTTGAGTAGCAGTGTCCTGGGCCAGGAGCTGAGGACCACAGCCAGAAGGAGTGGGCAGGGGCCCTGCCTGCCTTGCTACCTCCGTCGGTGGTGCAAAGGATGTGTGGCCAGCGGGAGGCGCACAGTGGGCGACTTTCCTTTTCAGGACCTCAGCCTTGGGCCTGCTCATGCATGGCAGGGCTCCCACAGGTGGCCCTGCCCAGCCAGAGGGCAGTGGGCAAAGGCTCCTGCTGGCCTGGGATGACTCAGCGGCCGGGAGAGGCCTGGGCCAGGCTCCCGTGTGTTAGTGGAGGTGGGGCTGTGTGGAACTAGGCTGCTGTGGCCCAGCACAGTGACCTTGCTGAGCGGGAGCTGGGCCTCAGAGAGCCAGTGTCCCTCCTTGCGCTATAAACACAGATAGTCACAGAACAGAGAAGCCAGAAACAACACCAAATGGTCATTTCCTCCTCTCACATGCCTGCCAGTGCCAGGCTTCACAGTAGGAACTTCACGTGCATTATCTGATTCTTTTTTAAAAAAATTTTTAAATTTATTTACTTGTTTATATCTGTTTGTTTACTCAACTTTGTGCTGTTTCTGGGGCTTGAACTCAGGCTTGAACTCCCGTTTTCACTGAAGGCAGTTGGGTGGTTTTGTTTTCCTTGTATGAAACTAAATACTCTCTCAGCGGATCCAGTGATTCCAACGCTTGGCATTTATCCAAAGGAGTTGTCCACACAGAAACCTGCACACAGACGTTCACAGAAGCTTTGTTTATAATTGCCAACACTTAGAAGCTTACCTGGGGGGTTGAGTAGCTGAGATCTCAGGATCGTGGTTCAAAGCCAGCCTGGGCAGGAAAGTCCGTGAGATACTTGTGGCCAATTAACTAGCAAAATGCCAGACATGGAGCTGGGGCTTAACTGGTCCCACACCAGCCTTGAGAGACAGAGCTAAGGGACAGTGAGAGGCCCTGAGTTGAAGCCCCAGGATTGGCACAAGGTAAAAGGAAGAAACAACTTAGAAGCAACAGAGCTGTCCTCTGTCAGATGAGTGAGCAGGTGGACAGTGATATGCCCAGCGCTGGAAATTTACCTAGTGCTAGAAAGCAATGAGCTCCTGAGCCACAGGAAGACAAAGAGACAGCATACTGGGGGAAAGCGGGATTCTTTCACTAAGCGAAAGAAGTCAGCTAAGTTGATTGTGTGCTATAGGATTCTAGCTATAACTGTCTGGAAAAGGTAAACCTGTGGGGATGAGGAAAAGGCCAGGGGTTGCCCAAGGCTATGGGAGGGAGGGAGGGAAGGCAGCACACTGAGGAATCTTAGGGCAGAAGGACTAGTCCGAAGACACTTGGCTGTGTATACAAGGCTTACGTGTGTCAGAATCCACGGCCTGTACGTGGGAACAGAGCTGGCGATGACATACCGCTGCCAGTTCAGCCATAACCAACACGTCACTGGCAGGAGAACCCGGGAAGCATATGGCGGAGCCCTTCAACTTAGGAGCGGTTTTCCTGTGGACCTAAATTAGCTGTAGAAAAGCAGGGACAAAAACTCTCAAGCACTGGCGACCTACAACAGCCAGCCAGGGAACTGAACAAGAGCCCCTGTGGCCCAAACAAGGACCCCAAATGCCCAGAACCCAACTCAATAGTGAGAACGTCCTGATTCCTGCCCTGCTTCCAACTCATGCTTAAGCCAGATACACAACCCATCCACAGGATGCCTGCCTCCACTGATGGGCCTCCTGCTAGCTGCCTCCAGTGCCCCCAGCTGACAGCAGCCCGCCCTACAGCTCCTACAGCCGCCCTTCCCCACCTCTGCATCTCTATCTACCACGCCCCTCTGAGCTCGGCCTCTGAGTGTGCATTCCTACACCGCACGTGCTGTGAGCTCGGCCCTGGGTATTCATTCTTTTCCACACTGTGTGCTCCAAGCTGGGGCTGGGCTCCCAGTTCTTACCAGTTGGGCCATGGTGATTATAGCTATATGCACATTACCGCATCTGACTTTGGTGGAGGCAGATTTGCAGCTTGCTGCAAATTTTTGTACCAAGGGGCTCCCATGGGGTTTGAGAGGTGATCACTGAAGTGTGTGTGTGTGTGTGTGTGTGTGTGTGTGTGTGTGTGTGTGTGTGTGTGTGTGTGTCTATTTATACTGGTACTAGGGCTTGAACTTTAAGGCCTGCGTACTGTCCCTTAAGCTTTTTGACTGAAAGTTGGTTCTCTACCACTTAAACCACAGCTTCATTTCTGGCCTCTTGGTGGTTAGTTGGAGATAAGAATCTCATGGACTTTTGTGCCTGGGCTGGATTCAAACCACAATTCTCAGATCTCATTCTTCTGAGTAGTTAGGTGTGAGTCCCAGGAGTCTGACTCACACTAAATTTTAAAGGCTGCTCTGCCTGGCCTTTCTGGCTTCTAGGCTTCCTGGTTGGTCAAGGATTCTACCTGGGGTAGAAGATGGGCCAGTTCCTCCTCTGGGGTCTTGGTTGGGTCCTAGCCTGTCTGTGGGGCCACTGTCACCCCTCAAAAGCTGTGTGGGCTGGTCCCATCTTGTAACCACAGAGTCCTATTCTGTGACACCCTGGACCGCAGGACGGAGCTCAGTCCAGCTTTTCCTGCCTGAATTAGATGATGGGGTGGGAAGGATGCTCTCTGGCCTTTCTCCCAGCCAGGCTGGTGCTTGGGGGCTGGGGACCCTGTAAATAAACTCCATTGCAAATCCCCTCGCTCTGGGTCTCTCTGACTAGATACACAAGCCTCCCTGGCCACGTAAGGACCCATCTTGGTTTTCAGAAAACTTGCTGCTGTGAGAAATAAGCTTGAAGGGTCTCTAAAGAGACCCAAATACGATTTAAAAAATAACCACTAACTCGCTTGGCCCAGAGCAAAGCTGAAGGGAAATGAAGAATACGTCTTTACTCAGGAAACAGATTCTTCTTTGACACATTTCCCCCCCCCCCCCATTGATTTTTTTTCATCCTGTGTCCAAAATGGGGCCTTTCTCCTCCATCTTTTATGTGGGGCCATAACCACAGAGACAAAGTCCACTTGTCAGCCGGGCTCTGCCAGCCGCTGCTGTCCTTTCCTCCAGGGTCCCCCAACAATAGACCCATTATCGGTACTCTGCGAGCCCACGCATTTCCCTCTCCCTTGTGGGGCTCATGGGCAGTCAGGCTGCCAGGCCAGAGGAAATGGGGACAATTTCCACTTGCTGGAGCCCCAACGTGGCAAACTCCGGGAAGGGCTGTTATGGGGTGTGTTGGACACCGTCCGCTGGGACTTTGGGGAGCACGGGCGTCCACCAGTATTGTCACTCACGCCATCTGTCCTCCAAGAACAGAAACTTATTCCCAAAGAGAGGCCTTTCAAGAGGTCCCGGGCCTTGAGCTCTGCTGAAATTCTCACCTGATATAGTCATCACCAGCCCCCCTCCCACACACACCAGCCCTGCACGGCAGAGAAAATAACAGGGTTCAGCACCCCATGTTGGGTCTGGAGCCTTGAACCAAGAGTAAGGTCTACTCTTCCCCCTTGGTGTAGCTGCCAGGAGCTCACGGTGACCTCCGTCAGAGCCTGTTTGGCCCCTTGGTGAATCCCAGAGGCTCTGGTCATTCCAGAATTCGTGTTGAGTGACTCTCAGGGAAAACCATTCACCAGCACCTGTGCATTCACACATGCCTCCGTCCAGGGGCTCAGCCTGGCCCGGGCTCAGAGAGCAGCATCCAAGCCCATGACACTGTTGTAGTTGGTGAGCAGAGATGGAGTGGGGTGCAGTGTCCCTCCCTATCCCGGGGCCTTGCCACCCCAAACCCTTCTAAACTCAGGAAGAAGTTGGGCTATTTTGCTGCATGTAAATGCGATAACTGTATCATCCTAATACCCAGAAGGACCGGGGGCCCTATGGGGTCGGTGAGGCTCGGGCAGCTGGCTGAGCCCCTGCTGCTGTGAGTCCCGTTGGTGGCTGTCCTGGCTGAGGGTGGGGGCAGGGGCAAGGGGCAGGGGGCAAAGAGCAGGTGAGGCGTTCCGAAGGGTGTGGGCAGGTAGGGCCCATGTGGCTGGAGTGAGCAGGAACCCCCAGAGTCCAGTGTATTGGCCTCAGCCATTTCCAACAGGACTTGGAGACTCTGGGAGTCAGGCCATAGTCTTTGGTTCATTCCTTCACTTCAGCTGGGCTGAGGATGGGAGCCTGGAGTTCTACCCAGAGGAAGGGGAGGAGGAGAGGCGCCATCTCTGTGGGGATGTGGGGACATCTCTGTGGGCACCCACAGGAGGCCCAGCTCAGGACAGCTGGGCTGGCACTCACTGTCTGAGGTTTGCTCGCTGTGGGCCTCTCTGTCAGACCCCAGGAAGGAGTCCCCGGCAGGTCTCCAGGAGAGAGACCCCCCCCCCCAGGGGAAACTCTGTCTGCTCCCCAGCAGCCCCCGGGGCTTTGGCTCATCCCTAATCCACTGTCAGGGAGGATCCAGGCCTAGCTGGGAGAGTGGCAGGTGTGGGAAGTGCTGCCTCCATTGGGAGGCTGGCAGAGGCCCACTCTCCCAGAGGACAGCTCCCGGAATGCTGAGCCCGATGCCACGGGGCTCACGGGTGGACTGCTGGGGTCAGCACTCCTGGAGCGAGGCCGGAACCCTGGAGGTAGCCCAGCGGGAGCACTGCCTGACACACGTAGGAGTGCACACGCTGGTGTCTGTTGCACCCACGTGGAGAGGTTCAGGGCAGGTGGTGGCCTGTGTGAGCGCTGCTTCCCCAGCAAATGGAACAGCTGCCGGGCGCCGGTGGCTCACACCCGTCATCCTAGCTACGCGGGAGGCTGAAATCTGAGGATCACAGTTCAAAGCCAGCCCGGGCAGGAAAGTCCATGAGACTCTTATCTCTAATTAAGCACCAGAAAACTAGAAGTGGCGCTGCGGCTCAAGTGGTAGAGCATTAGCCTTGAGCTGAAGAGCTGAGGGACAGTGCCCAGGCCCAGAGTTCAAGTCCATGACCGACACACGCACAAGTAATAAATAAATAAATATTTTTAAAAAGTAAGAAAATGGAACATCCAGGTGCCTGTATCAGTGGAGATATGGGGGGTGGAGGGGATGTGTGCCCTGAAGCCTCCCTGGGCACCACTGCCAAGGTTAGTGAGTTCGACCTTGACCAAGCCCCCTCCCCCAGCCCTCCCTGCCATCCTCCTCCCAATGACGCTTGAGGGACAGCAGCTTAGAAAAGCACACAGATTTATTGCATATCAATTTCATGTATAAATTCATTGTAACATCAGAAAGATTACATTTGGTGTACGGTCCTATTCTACAATATTACCTCAAAATCAGCACCTCCTAGGCTTTATCCGGAAGAAATTTCTCTACACAAGTACATCTGTCTTGATCACAAGCATCAAAATGAAATTTGCAAAATCGCTCTTTTGATTAAGTTCCTACACGTCCCGTCTCCTTGTCTCTTTATTCTCGCACAGCGATTTCCATATCCAATAGGAGCTGTGCCCCCCGTTTGTAAGAGGAGGGGGTCAGCTCAGGATTCCCGGTCTCCGCCTAGACCCTACTCACATGTCTGTATTCAGGAAGTGCATCTATGGAACCGTCCTTGTAATAAAAACTCACAAACAGACACGGTAATGACCGCTACACACTTGTCATGCATAACTCACTTACAGAAACACAACAGAAGCAATTTACAGGGAAGCTGGGTGAGATCGAGCACCAGCCTCCTTCTCCGTGGTTTTCCTCTTGTGTTTTCAACGTTCTATGAAAACTGGACATTTACATTTAATTTCCTCTTCAACACTATACAGCTCCAAAAAAGAAAACAAACAGAAACAGAAACAGAAACAGAAATGGAACCGAATCTGAATGTAACAATGACAGCGGACACACAGGCTTGGGTCTTGCCTGAAGAAGCAAGGGCATATGTACTTTCACTTACCAAGTATCTATGCATTTATATGCGGACTTTAAATTACACATTGGGACACTCCCCTTAGGTGAAGAGAGCCAAGGGGCATAAGAGGCCCGGAAGGAAACTCCAAGGTCGCCTTGGTTCACAAGTGAATTGCACGTTTGGAAACGCAAGCTGCCTTTATTCATTGTATCTTTTTTTTTTCTTTTCTTTTCCAAAAGTGGTAATAAGAAATCAGTGAGAGAAAGGAATCACACACACACACACACACACACACACACACACACACACACACGGAATGGAAGGAGAAAGGAACTCTTCTGAGAATCACGCAAGAATGTCTTTGTCACAGTATTCAAAGCTGCAGAGACACAGTTTCATGGCTTTTGATACCCGGCTGACCGCCGCTGACCAAGAGCAGCTGTGTCCCATCACCCGCAGCCGGGAAGTAGTGCCATCTTGTCCCGGCTCCCTGTCCCCCGCCCCAGCGCCAGTGCCAGTGCCAGGCCCTCCCCCGGCCCTCAATCCCGGAGACAGCGCGGTGAACACGCTCAGCAGGCTTCAGCCATCGGGGCAGGGGATGGGGGGATGAGACCACAATCCAGTGCTTCGAGGCTTCACGTCTAGACACGTGATATGTATGTAGCAAGTGCTTTCTTTGCGAATGCTCACTGGGGAAGCAGTTGAGGTGAGGAGGCCCCAGGGCCCAGCGCTGGGGAGCCGAGGCGCTGGGCCAGCCAGGGCTGGCTGGACCAGCTGCACGCCTGGCCTTTGAAGAAGGGCCTCTGGGGCTGGGGGGGGGGTGTCTTTCAGACCATGCAGTGCCCACCCTGTCCCCTGGTTTGCATAGGGACACTCTTGCGGGATCTGCCAGGATGGGGGAGCTCCCTGCTTTCCACCTGATGGTCCTGAGGTTACAGCAGCCGTGGTGCTGGCAGAAAATGGCCAGGCGCCAGAGTCTGGGGCCACCAGAGGGAGGGGGCTCAAGGAGCCGTCCTTTCGAATCTCCACGAAATTCAAAGGACAGTAGTCCTGGCCAGACAGAAGGCTCCTGGCCCTGCACAAATCTGGCCCCATAGGACCTCTGGCTGCAAGGCCTGATGGTGGCCATCCAGCCAGCCACCTTGTTCCATCTCTGTTCACGCTACATTGCAAGCCTCAGGGTCCTGCTAGCGCTTGGTGCTGCAGAAGCCTGGATCTCAGCATTCCTAGGCCCAGACCCAGTTCCCTGGTCCCCAGCGGATCTCTGGGCACCAAGGGCACTGGGCCTGAGTGAGCAGAGCATGGAGGGGTCTGGTGCTGCCGAGGAAGAGGGAGGCAGGGAGGATCGGGCTCCCTGGTCTAGGGCTGAGTTGATTCAGTGTATAAGGATGCGCCAGCACAGGGAATAAGTGCTCTTTTCTTTTCTTTCTTTCTTTTTTGGTCAGGGAGTCCAAGGACGGAGTCCCCAAATATCAAGTGCCGGGGCCCGAGGGGCTGAATGTTCCGGATAATCTGGGTTCATTATCATCCTTACTAGGGGGCAAAAATATTCAGCTTAAAATATGCAGCCCAGGCTCTTGGCAGAAGGAGAGGAAAAGAATAAAAGAAGAAAGACTATTCAGGAAGTTTGGCCCCGAATGGCAGAATGGGCCCGAGAGGCCTCTACAGCCAAGCGGGACGCCCCCCCCCTCCTGGCTCCCCCCACTCCCCGTCTGCTCTACCGATGCCAGAAAGATTCGCCAGCCAGCCAAACATGTCCACCTTGGAGAAAGAGAGTCACCGCAAAAAGAAGCACACACCTTACTTGTTCGCAGCAGAAAGTGTATAATTGGGGTTTACAGAAACGGGCATTTGCATCTGAGGTTGACGTTGTACAAGGATCCCGCGTAGATCAGGAGGAAGGAAAAATTCTGTGCGTGGATCTGGCCTGCCTGTGCGGCTGAGGGGCTGCCCGGGCTTGGCAGAGCAAGGTGAATGGTTGGGTTTGCAAAATCTGACAAGGGGGCCAGCACCAGCTCTTCTGCACAGTGCTTCCTCTGCTCTGCCGTGAGCATCCTTCCGGTCTGTGCTCCTGGGGGGCACGGCTTCAGCACCAGCAGGGAGGGTGGGGGGTGCGGGGGGGAACCTTTGTCTTGCCCCAGCTTTGGGATTTCTCTGTGATCTGTGGGTTTGTGGTGTGTGCAGGGACTTCCCTCCTGGCCAGTCCCCAGTGCAAGCCAGGACTGCCGGACACTGCCAGAGACCGCTGGCTCTCGCCGGAAGTGGCCAGGCCGTGTGTGGGACACGCCTACTCGGACACTTCCTGTTGCTTCTGGGGAAAATGGGGGAGGAGATGTCTGTGGGGACAACAACCCAGCGCGGCTTTCGTTTGTTTGTTTTTAAGGGCAACTCAGGCAATTTCTTTTCTCCTTGGGACACTTGCTAGTTGTTTTTTTCTTCCAAACAATAAAAGAAATAAATAGAACACTTGTCTTAAATGCAAATGAAACTCAGATTTAACAAAAACAAATGATTGTCTGGTAAGAGGGCAGCACTGTAGCAGGGTTTGTTGGGGGGATGCAAGGGTTTTTGGCACATTTCAAAGCCTCCCCACTCCTTGGTTACCGGTCAAACAACACACAACCTTATCACATGGTTTTGGTCCTTCACCAGATACTTATATTAACATTATTTCTTCACAATAAGATGTCTAATGCCAAAAATACTGTTAAGGAAGAAATAAAATAAGAAAAGAAACGAATTAGAAAAAAAATTACAAGTTATATACAGATTAAGGTAAATTCCATTAGGGAAAAATATTATCTGAAATTGGCCCCTATGGGAATAATTTAAAGCCCATTCAAATGGAAAAGCGGATACCACCCGAGAGAGTGAGGCATCTGGGCCCTGGGCGGGCCCAGGCTGCGGCCTGCGCTCCTTGAAGTGGGTTTCCTGGGTTCATCTCTCCAGGAACGAAGAGCCCAAGCGGCAGCTGGGTGGTGGATCCGGAGTCTTAGGCACAGGTAGCGCTTGGCGTCCTGAAGTGTGGCCGGTATGCAGAGGTCACGGGAAGGACACTGAGCATCCGGGGGGAAGGGGGGGGTTCGGGGTGGTGTGAGTCTCGAGGCCCAGAGGCCCTGTCTTCAGAAGAACAGCAGCTGGAGCCAGCGTGGGAACAGCAGAGACGTGGACCGAGCGGAGGGGGACCACCAGGTGCTTGGAGGACCCGAGCCACAGGCTCCTGACTTCTCATACAATTGGGGGTGCTTGGGCGGGGTTCAGGGCGGGAGCGGGAGGCTGTGGAATCCTCTGTAGGCCACACGAGTGGACAGAAGCCTGACAGTCCAGCCTTGAGCCAGCCTGAAGCCAGGCCCACTCAGAACTCCACCCCCAACCCCCACAGAGTCCGCGTGGCACTCAAAAGAGTGGTCTGTGCCCCTCAGCCTGTCTTGGGAGCTCTGCGGTCACCTTGGCTGGTACAAATAGGGTCAGAGAGAGAAAACTCTCCAGTTTCTACAGTATAAAGGACGCACCCAAGCACGGGGCCAGGTGCCAGGCAGGCGTGGGTTCGCAAAGAAGCTGAAATCTCAAAGCAATGCAAAATTACTTTTAAAAAACAATTTTTGCAAGTCTCTCTCTCTCTCTCTTTTTTGATTTTTAAAAAATACTATTTTTAAAACCCACATGCTTAAATAGACTCTGTAAGTCATTAAGGGTTAACCAAAAGGGTTACTCTCGTAATTTTCATTATAAAAATTGTCGGCGCGATCTCTCTCCTTGGCGCATACCTGTGTCTTTGCATTTCCCTCCTTGATGCCACGCAGGTGCCCGCGAGCGGTGGGCAGGGTCCACCAGGCTGGAGAGCCCGTGGTGGCCTCGGGCAGCTCCTACGGTGGCAGGCGGACAGCGTGTGCTGGACCGGTGCAGAACAGTGTCCTCAAGACCAGGTCTGACAGTTGGCCAAGACCGATGACCGCTCCTGGGACTTTCAGGTGTGAGTTTTTCATCGGAAAGTGAGACTTGAACTACAGAGGGGCTGGGTGCTGAGTGACCGAACACAGGTGTCAGAGGCTCTCCCTGGCGTCGCCTCCATTCCCCCAAAAGCTGCTGCCCTGGCTTCCAACTCTGGCCCCGGGGCCTCCAGGCCTCTCAGAGGTGATTGATGGAGCTGAAGGCCCCGGACTCCGACGTGGCTCCTGGGATGTTCAACCAAGTGTCCAGCGAGCTCTGGGCGGGGACGTGGGGAGGCGCGTCTTCAGAGAGGGACAGCATCATTGCATATGCCTGGCGGGAGAGGACAGCACATGCACAAGTGAGCCCTGTCCCTGTGGGCAGGGCTGTGCCTCACCCGCTGCCCCAGCCCACTCAGCCTCACCCCATCCAGATGGCCTGGGAAAACACAGGTGCCAGAGAGGCCCTGCTGCCTCCTGGCCTGGGAGAGGGAGATGAGCCTGGCGGGCGCAGGGTCAGGAGAGGGCCACACCTCCTCACCAAAGTGAGTTCAAGACCTCCCTGCCCCGCCCTGTCTGGGACCTCCTTTGGTCTCTGCCATCCTCCAGTGGTCTCTCCATTCTCCCTGTTTTCTCTCCCTGGTGATCAGCAAAACACCCACTGGCAGATGTCTGGTCCGGGCGGGATCTTTGGACTCAGTAGAGGTTATTGCTAAGACCCATACTAAGTAGATTCCTGCCCTGCCTTGTGGGCATTGGACCCGAGGGTGCATGCCTGTGCTTGAGACTGCGGCGACACCACAGAGCCAACCCCAAGGTCAGATGCGCCACATTCGGGAGCTGGCGGAGTTATAATGGGATTGGAGGTGTCTGCTGGCCTTGGCCTGTCACAGGGCATGCTCCTGCTGGGGCCACCGGGTAGGAAGTGAGGTCTGGGGGCTGTGAGGAAGATCTTGAAGGTTGAGTACTGGGGAAGCCCAGTTCCAGTCTCTCCCCCCCCCCCCCGGCCCCCCGCCCTTACCCTAGCAAACACTGTGGACAGAATTAGTAATAGACAAAGACAGACATGCAGACGGCTTTTGCTGAGACTCAAGGGGTGGGGTTGTGCCCTCTGGGAGGCTGCGGGAGGGTGGGGGCAGGGGGAGACCCAGGCCTCTTAGAGGAGCAGAGGCCGGGTTCTGTGGTCCCCGCCTGGAAGGCAAGAACACAATCCTGGCTGACAGGTACCTGTGGGGAACAATGAGCCCTGGATGAGGAGCCTCTTCCAGGAAGAGTCCCGGCTGCCATTTGCCTGGCTCAGATCAGAATAGGGAAGACCCAGAGGCTGGGTGGGCTGGACTCTGCTCATGGATGCTCCCCGCTGGGGGTGGGGGGAGCGGAGGGAGACCCCCAGTCACACCTGTCTGCCTGTGGCAGGGCAGCACCACTGGGACATCTCTCTAGCCGGAGCAGGGGCGTGGGAGGAGGGGCACCCTGAGCTTCTCCCAGGCCTGAGCCAGCCGCAGCAGGAGGCCAGTGCTCGGGCTGTCCCTGGGTGAGCACCATGGTGGCCGCCTGCCCTCGGAGCCACGTGGAGATACACAGGGCGCAGGGCTCTGTGGGTACCTACCTGGTTCTTAGCCTGCCTGTACAGGGTCTGTTTTAAAGTCTCAGAATCTAAGGTGGAATTAAGCACATCTTTAACTTCAAATGCTTCCTCAGCTGCTCTGCGGAGGTCCAGCCCCTTCCCAAAGGTCGCCGTCGGCTCCAAAGCTAACAGACTGCCTCCTCGCTCCTCAACACACCTGCACCAAGGACCGGGAGAAGGGCCTGGGGTCAGCTGACTGGCCACTGGCCGCCTCTCTAGTGCCGCGCGGCCAGCCCTTGGCCCGCACGCACGCCGCAGGTCTCTACCAGCCGCATGCGCAGACAAGGAGACAGACACAGGGACACGCAGACAGACGTCTAGACGTGAAGCCACACGGAGGCGGAGGCAGATGCAGGGGGCGGGGAGGGGACCGAGGGCAGGGGCGAGGAGGGCATGCACCAGGCTCCCAGGCAGCAGGCAGGTGATTCAGTCTTAGGGACCCAGGGTTGGGAGCAGGCCTGGATTCTGAGACTTCAGGCAGTTTGGGAGGGGCTGTCTCCCCTCCCAGGACACAGAGGCCGGGGAGGTCATACGTGAGGTCATGTGTCTCGGGATGACCTCTCCTGGGAGCATCTCAGGCCGGCAGGGGAAGTGCCTCTGTCCTGTACCACCTCTGCCACCCTGGGTCCCCTGCCCTGCACCCACAGCCCTGCCAGAGGCTGAACCCCACTGCCCCGGGTGGAGAGGGCAGGGCATGGCTGTGTCCTGCTCAGCGGAGAAAACGTGTCTTCCCTTCTTCCCTCTGCTTCCAACCTCTAGATGCCCAAGGACGCTGACTCTGTCACCTGGCTCCGGCCTCCGGGCAGCAGTGGCTGCGGGGCCAGGGTGAGGCCAGGCTGGAGGAGGCAGGACACCCTGGTCACATCCCAGTTCCCACGCCCACCTTCGGGTGTGCTGGAAGCCCAGGGCCAGGGAGGCGGGCGGCTCTTCATCCTCCTCATCCTCGTAGACTCCCTGGGGCTCGGGGGTGGGGGACACCATGTCGTCCTGCGACTTCCCGGCCAGACTGTCATCATCCTCTTCCTCCAGCTCCTCCTCTTCCTCCTCTTCCACATCCTCTGGCTTCTCGCTGGCCAAGCCTGGACACTGCGGGTTGTCATCTAGATCCTGGGCCTCGGGCCTGAAATGACAGGGGAGGAGGGACGTGGTCAGGACAGGCTACAGTAGAGAGGCCACAGGTCCAGGCCTGCCCAAGGCCTATCATGAGGACCCCAGGAGAGTCATGGACACAGGGCTCCTGACAGCAAGGGCGGGGCTTGAGCTGCCTATCATCAGGCCTGCACCACCAGGAAGGGGCGGGCTTCCCAAGCCCAGGCCTGCCTACCTCAGGGGCCAGGATTCAGCAGCCTGGATTCAGCTTTTCTGCCTGGTTTGGGTTCCACTTTGTCAGTAAGGAGCAGCTGGGTGAGGGGTGTGGCTCTCATTTCCCTCAGTCATTGGAGGAGAGGGTTGGGGAGGGGGCTTGGAACTGGGCCCTGCACCCCTGCAGCCCCCCGGCGGGCGTCTGCTCAAGCACAGGACATGGAGAAGGGCTCCACGCTCACGGAGCCAGCCCCTGCGCCTCAGCCTTCCTCCGGGCTGACCCTGGTGGCACTGAGGCACTGTGGTCTCGGGGGAGCGGGGCGACATGAAGCCTGGCTCATGGCAGTGAAGAGACTCTGCTGGTGGGCCGTGCATTTGGAGGTTGCCTGTGCCCAAAGGGCTGAGCTGGGCAGAAGCCACTGCGGCACGGCTTGTGGATACCCGGGTGCCACTTGCTTGTCTTTCCACGTGGGAGCACTGGAGATGCAGGCGGCTGACTTGGTAGGCCTCGGGTCGGGGCATGCCCTGGTCCTCGGTCACCTGTGGAGGTGGTGGGCTCACAGCAGGAGCCTCTGGTGTGCATGCCCATCTCCCTGGGCTGGGCGGGGGGCTTGGAGCTGGCTGCGATGGGTCTCTCCCTCCCTGAGCGGGGGTGGGGGGCTTGAGGGCGTAGGAACTCAGCCCTCACAGTCTGCTCCGAAGGCAGGTTGGGACCGGGCGGGTAGACAGCCCGGCCCGGGGCTTGATCACGCCCACCAGCTGCCAGGTGTGGACAAGTCATGCCTGCTGGGCAGTCCTGAGCAGATATAGATAGAGTCTAGTTGGGAGCAGGCCACATTCTGGGCTTTGCTGTCTGGTCCCTCTGCACAGACGTGGTGCCCAGGGTGTGTGGCAGGAATAGTCCCTGTGGGCTGGAGTCCACTTTGCATAGGACAGCCACGCCAGAGGGAACACGCCAGTGTCCAGCTTCTCACAGGACAACTGCCCTGGCGGGAACATGCCAGCCTCCTGCACGGCTTGCAGTGGTAGGAACTGGTGCTCAAGCCAGCGAAGGCAGCCTGAGGTCAGAGGCTGGCAGGCCTGGCTCTGGGTGGCATAGAGGAAGCGTCTCCAGCTCCCGGTGTCCCCCAAAGCCCTCCGGGCTCCTTGCTACATGCACACGTGCCACCTCCGCTTCACCTGTGTGCACACGTGTGCACAGGCTTCTGTCCATCTCCATCTCTCCCATTTTTTTGGATGGCCCCTGATCATGCTAGAACCTTGTCACAACCTGGTGGCCCCTTTGGAGACCCTGTTCTCTAACGGTTGCAATCTGAGGCCTGGGGGGAGGGCTTACCAGGGGGCTTTAGGGTACACTTCATCCGGGGACTTGTGGGTGTGGGGCCAGGAGTCCTGGCAGACCTCACTGCCAAGGAAAGGACCCAGGACTGAAGATCAGATGATGTTGGCACTGCCACCCATGGGCTGCCAGGGTCATCCATGTTCTCGCTTACGACAGTGCCTGGGGCCCTCTGGGGCCATTCCCAGTGTGGGCCAGGGCCGGGAAGGTGGCTTAGTGGTAGAGTGCTCGCCTAGCATGCATGAAGCCTTGGGTTGTAGTCCTCAGTACCACATACACAGAAAAAGCCAGAAGTGGTGCTGGGGCTCAAGTGGTAGAGCGCTAGCCTTGAGCACAGAGAGGCTCAGGGACAGAGCCCAGGCCCTGAGTAGAGTAGCGAGGGGCCGCAGGAGAGAGCACTTAGTCAGGGCCACAGATTGAGGACTAGGAGGCAGAGACAGCGAAATGCTTTGTCATGATTGCTTGCATAGATCTTCCTAGATGCACACTGAACATATGACGTTTATGCACACACAAGCACCCCCACACATCTGCACACTAAGAGCCACGTTGTACACATGTTGTATACATGGATGTGCTTATGCACGCATGTAGGCACACATTACACACACATAGGCACCTGAGTCCACACACATGCTATACAATGCACACATGAAAACACATGAAGTTACACACATGTATGCACATGTGTACACGGATGCACGTGGCTAGGTACACATGTATGTGTGCAAAGGCGGTCTCTGACACAGTAATTCTATTCAGGATTTTCTCGACTTGATGGCGATGTGAAAGCAACACACCTTTGGGAGGAGCTGCACTTGGCTTTTAGATTTTCCTCTTTCCCAGGTACAGGCAGAAGCAGGGAGTCAAAGCTCTTTGCCACCCTTACCCCGTACCCCCAATTCCAAAGAGGAGACAGCCACCCTCCACAGAGGGTGTTGTCAGATTCCTGGAGAATTACAGGAGATAGTCATCACCGTGCTATAAAGCAGGCTTTGTGGAGATGCTGTGTCTGGCTTGGGTGAGGCGTGCTCTGAGCATGTCCAGGGCTAGGTGCTCTGAACATGTCCAGGGCAGCCTCTGCGGTGATGGAGGTGGCTGTGTTAGGTGTGAAGAACGCAGGTTTGGGCAGCATTTTCCCCTGCTGATGAGTTTGTTGGGACCTGCTCCATGTTGGGGTTCAGGGCCAGGCTGGGCTGGTGCAGGAGCCCACAGTTGTCTGTGTCTGTGTGCACGTCTGGAGGTGTGGGCCTGTCCAGCCTAGGCCTCAGTCTATGTGTCACCGAAGTAGGACACCCAAGGCTCCGTGCGTCCCCTGGCTGCAGAGGGCTGGCAAGAACCACCCTCTCTAGCTGGAGAAACTGAGGCGGGCAGGGGGAGCAGGGGGCCTGGTCTGCCATGGGGCCTGGTGTCCGTCAGGGTGCCTGTGTGCCCGTCTGGCCCCGC